TAAAACAAAAACAAGCCTGCGATATTTGTACGTAAGATTTAAAATAACCGCGAAAATAGCATTTTTAATCAGTACAATTACTTAACTACGACTACACTCAATCAATTACTCAATCGTTCGCCAATCATGCGCTTGTACTTCGCGTGCATCTGTCCCTCGATCACGTGGACTGCAGGTGGAACGTGAACGTGCGCGAGCAATCTGCACGATCGCGACCCGATCGGAAAGTCTTCTCTTCCCGAGGTAGGGATTTTCGTCGAATCCTCGCACGCTGTCCTGCGGCCAGACAGACGGGGCGTAGGATACAAAGGTGCGCCTTTTCGAGGAGCGCGCCGGCGATCCGAGCAGCACCTGGCCCAAGACGATGGGAGGGATCGAGCACATGCGGAGGATAGGAACGGAGCGCGCACCGTTCCGGGGAGTGATGTTGGGAAGTGTGCAGCTGTCACACAGCAGCTGCGAACCTCTTTCTATCTCCCTCCTCTTCTTGCTCGGCGACCGGCCAGCCTTCCTCCGGCGCGGCGCCTCCTGCACCTTTTGCCTCGCATCGGCTGCGCGCCGCCGCCTAATTCCTGCCTCGGCATACTAATTCCTTTACGGATTTTTATACCCTGTCGCAGTGAATTCGTGAACGCAGCTGGAAGCCGTACCAGCGTAGCAACGGAAGACCAAAAGATATGGTTTAAACTTTGAAGCACGTATCAGCGATTATGATGTCCTTTAATCGACATTCTTTGGGCATACCTTAGATGCCTTCTGTGCCTCCGCGTTATCTTGAAAGCGAGTCTATTGGAGTAATAAATGTCTTACAATTAGTATAAACACGTTTATTACATTTATTGTATAAATGTAATAAAATGTAATGTAAATGTATTGCTCACACACACACACACACACACACACACGTGATTGTTTATGAGCTTCTAACTAGACTGATCCTTTTGCTTTTGTCAATATTGTGTTCTGATTGAATTTTAATTGACTCTGTATTCTTCTTCTTAAAGACGGAGTCTATTAAAATACAATTTTCTTAAATACAGAGTCGATTAAAACACAATCTATAAAATGATGGATTTCGTTTAGTTAAATAATGATAATATAATAGATTTTTCAATAAGATCGATAATTAAATTTACTAGTTTTTATAAAAAGACTTTCAATTATATCTCATATTTTTTTCTTGTGTATGTGTGTGTGAGATACATTGATTTATAAATTACACTTAATAAAACGCTTATCTCTCGATTGTTATGAGGCAAATTGTTCCTTAAGTAATCGGTGACTGTGATGATTTATTTTACGCCAGAGAGGCCCGCATATCTTAACTCCGTTTCGAAATCAACTACCACCGTCGCGAGGAAAAAAAAGCATCTTTACTTCTTTCCGAGATGAAAAGATCTGCCTGCATCTGTGCTCGCCGCATCAGCTGCCTCTTGTGTAAAACTAAACTTCCTACCCTGCCCACACATCTGCTTTCTTATGGCACATCCGTAATGGATATTGCGCGACATATCTCCACAATGAGTATAGACAAAGAAGTAATACATTCGCTGATCTCTAATTTTCTATTTTTTTATATATTTTGTGTATTATTTGCGATATCGTAAATCGCGTAACGCTTGTTTTTCTTTACCGTCATAATAATTCTATTTTACTTTCGTTATAATTCGTAGATACATACGTATCTTTTGAACAAGTCCAATTTTTGCAGTTATCGTATGACTATTAGAATACTGAATAATAATATAGTTTGATTTAAACGAACAGGTTTGTCTTATTTTATCATTTAAGTTTTTCGATGAAGCGTATATAACTTACGACAGACTTGGAATAATCTTATCTTCTAAAAAAAAAATCGAGAGAATAAACAGTATTCCTGTCCTATATCTGCATATGGACCTTTACGGTCACTTGTGATTATTTACGCTTGCGTAATCGACGTTAGTGTAGCTAGCGTGGAAGCGCAATGGAAGACTCCGTGTCGCAAAACAGCCAGGTGAAAGGAAAGTTTCGCAGCGTTTCGTATACTAGATAAGTTAGTGGATTCTTCAGAGTAACGTCGGATCTTCGACATATTATTCGCTTATCTCAGACCTTGAATTGATTTTTTTTTCCATTTCAATTGCGATACCATTTTCAGAAAACTTCCAGCTGTAGTTCTCGCTATTATACACATTATGAAAAAAAAGAGAACAAAGAGAAGAAAAGAAAGAGAGAGAGAGAGAGAGAGAGAGATTAAGAGATTAAAAATTACATTTTATAAGTATACAAATAGATAGATAGAGATTGATTGTTGACACACAATATCTATAAAAAAAGATTTCACTTTTCTAAATAAGCTTTTAATCTTCTGGGAGTAAAATTAATCGAGATTTCAAGATGAAAACGTGATATCAATGATTCTGAGACAAATAACAATATTTTTTGCAGGAGACAAGACATCTCGTTGGCTCATTCGATGTCCCGGCGCTCCTCCCGCCAGCCTCGTCCCTTCTCTTCTAATCAGATCACTCTAAAGCCAGGAAATTCGGACAGTCAAAGAGCAATCGGTACTCGCAGCTGTCGTCGACTTCCAGAACGTGTCGGACGACGGCAGCTGCAGCGAAGCGCGGCGCATTATACCCCGCCCAATTCGATCGGCAGAACGCCGATCGGCAGTGCGCTCGCTCGCTCACTCGCTCTTCCGCTCCTACGTACGCGCGTGCACGCGTGTGTCGTGTATAAGGCGGTACAGTCGGGCGAGTGAAAACGGTATACCTGGATCACACGAGGACCGTATTCGCGACGACACCTCCAAGTGACGCGAATCACCTGGCTCCTCGCGCGAGCACGGACGGACCGCGCGATTAATTATATGTACAAGTAGAGTCGCTTCTCAACGGCCAACGCGCCAGGAATCGCGAAGAAAAATCTCACCGCCGGATACGAGCGTATAAGAGACATCACTTCTGTACCCGCGTGTACGCGCGATACTGCATGCGTGGCCGACACGCAGATAAGGGAAAGTTAAGGCCTCGCGAAGTCGACCGCGCGAAAATGCCGCTACCGCGACTCTTCGTCAAGTAGTTGTATTACGTTTACCGGACTCGCGGGAGACGATGAAAAATGAACCAAGAACGTTACCGGACAAACATTAGTCTCTTAAAAAACATCGACGCGCAATTTACCAAGTTTGGAAAAAGTATACAAAATTCGAAGAATATTATTATTAGGCTACCGAGCTCCAGCCCGGGCCTTAAATGGCATTTTCTCTAATTGATTGTATATTACACATCTGTCCTGTTTCACTTATTATTGACATAACATTGTGTTCCGAATTAACGAATAAATTAATTGATTAAAAAATACATACGGTGCTATATATTAAAAAACACACATTCTTTTCTGCATAAATCATCAATCAATTAATATATAACTTTATTGCACAACGTCTCCGGTCGCGAGACCGTCGAACAGTCATACTTATCGCAAACTTACCGTTTCAGATATCCGGTTGACATCATAGGTCGATGCGTTCGGCTGTCCGCGTCGAGGAACCAAAGCAGGCGTCGTCGAGATGGACGAGGACCGGTGCTCTTTAACGATTCAACAGCGTCGACAGGTGGTGTCGCAATTCAAGCGTGATCACCAAGTTCTCGCGGACTGTAATATCTTGAACTTGCCTCCAAAGCCTTCTTTCAATCGCACTCGGTTAGAAAACAAGTTTACCTTAAACTCATTTTCTCCCCCTAAACTTACATCAAACTTGTCCCTCTCTATCTTATCTCGACGCTCGAGTTTGTATTTATTTAGAACTTGAAATAAGTTGCCGACGTTCAGCTTCGCGTGTCTCAGCGGATCGGCGCGCACGGAATGTTCGAATGTGATGTTCAAACATCGTCTAATATGTTATAATATGTTCGATATTCTCCCTCTGACACGCGCGCGCGACGCGACCCGGAGCTCCGTGTTTCCCGAATGAAATGTCGAAATATCCGCGCGAGTCGTCGCGAACGTCTTCGCGACTGTCCGGTGAAGCGAGATGTTCGCGCGCGTTCGTCTGGAGTTCGTCGAACCGCCTGGAGTTCTATCTATCGTCCGCGGCCCTCGGCGAACGTCCCTGCTTATCGGAACGAGGGGATAACTCGCTCGCGTGTGCGCCCGCAGCCGCGCGACAGCGTAAAGTCGACTGCACAATCGCGTGCGGTCGCATTGCCGGCGTACGTGCGACGTGTACACGCGACAAGATCGCGGCCCCACCGGTGCGCTAGGCGAAACTAAGGTCCCTCGGGATATCACGCTTCGGCGGCCGGCGACCGGCGGGGCGTAAGGCGTAAGCGGGCCGGGCCCCCGTGTACGCCTAGGTAACCACCAGAGGCAGGTGGCGGTAGACAGGTGAACGTGTTGGCGGAACACAGGAAGTGCCGGAGACAGAGAGGCGATATACAAAAGCCCCTTTGGTAGAGGGGGAACGACGACGACGACGACGACGACGACACCGTCCGGACTCCGGAGGCTCGGAGGAAGAAGAGGGAGTGAGAACTCTCGCCAAGTGTGCCTAGAAACAGAATTATCGGAGAACCGCGCGTAATAACCGCGGTAGAACCTTTCGAAAAAAAAAACGCGTTTTGGATTCTTTAAATTCGACGGAAGGAATCGGCCCCTTTCACAAAATAATACCTAATGGTACCGAGATCGGATAAATCGACGATGACGATGATTCGAATTAATTCATTCGAAAAGGACTCGGAGAATTAATCTGGATTTAAATGTTCCCCCATAAATTGTAACATAATTGCAGAGAAAAAAATCTTCTTTTGCTTCTACTAATGAATAGAATTAACAAAAATTAATCAATAATAATTCATAGTTTATTAATATGTGATATTATTTTACTGTGTGATGACAACGCTATTGGAATAAGAAGGAGAGGCAACGAGATTTCACCAAGGGCCTAGAAACAGAATTACGGAAAACCGCGCGTAATTAATCCCGGGAAAAAAACAATCTGAATTCAATTCGATTTGATTTGTCGCAAGTAAAAAACACTTCGTTCATAATTGGAAGCCATACATTACCGTCTTGGTTCCCACTTTTAGTTGGGGGAAAAAATCGGATCGTGGATCGTAAGCTCAAACGTTACCCACGATATTCTAAGAAACGTGACTTACATAGCAATGATGTATACAGCGGATGTCGTAATAATAACATTTAGAGCTGACCGCATCGCTTTTGTGGGGCATGCATTCATATTGCCTAACGACAGCTTTCGATGCCATCGACAAATAGTACATACATCCCCAATGAGCTCGAATTATCTTATAAATTATAATCTCCCTTCTCTTCTCCCCGAGTACAAAACTGAAATTATATATATTTTGAAAATCCACGGAAACGTTTGAGGAAACCGTGGAGTGAAAGGGCACGTCCTCGGAAATCAGGAGATCATTCCGGTCGCCCTAAATATCGCGTATATTACATATCCCGCTTCGGGTTCGGCTCGTCCGCTCGTCGAGAGAGTTCACCGTGCTAAGCAACAACATGGCGTTATTATGCCGCTTGCGACTCGCCGCGTACATACAGGAATAGCTCGCACATATGTCTCTCTCTCTCTTTCACTCTTTTGCTTCTCTCTTTTCTCTCCTCCCTGGTACGCGGTACGCGCATACATATGTCGTTACGAGCGTTCACGTAGGAAAAGCTCGCGCTCTCTCGTTCTCCTTCTCTATCTCTATCTCCCTTCTCCACTATCCCTCTTTCTCCTCTTTCCCTTCTCTCTCTTCTTCTACCTCTTTCTCCCTTTCTCGACGTTCTTCGACGGAGGATAGCACTCACGCAATCACGCAAAGCGCGACACACCGTCCTCCGCCGTTTCTCCATCGCAACGCGATAGTGAAGTCGTTGACTGTGAAAACCGGGGGTGACGAATATGAACGGGAGACGGGAGGAGAGCACGAGAACGTCTGTTTCAGATTCCGTTGATGTCTTCAGCCGCGAGCGGGACAGTATATGGCGGTCGAAATGTACCTCGGATGCAGAAATGTATAAATATATATCGTGGAATGCGATATAACGATCGATATTCCAAACAATGCAAGATTGCATCTTTAAAGCGGGGATTCGGACCGTAGAATGCGTAAAAATGCACAGTTAACGCGGTTTGAGTTCTTCATCAGCATTAATTTTCAATCGACCAAACGAGTTCGAATTAATATCTTTATTCATGTAATATACAACATAATATTAAAACTTATGCCATGTATAATAAAACATTTAAAATTTATAACGAATCTCAGGATGGAGCTTTGATAAAATTCCGATTAATTTTAATTGGCTAAATTTAATTAAACTTAATCAGCAATTATCTTATCAAATAATACACTATTTTGTTAATATAAATAGAATATATAATTAATATTTTGTTGTTTGATACGTAAAAGAAACATCAGATTACAGGGACAAATACAATTGAAAATTTTTGTAAAATTCAATAAGCGATTCTGGTTGAACTAATTAATTGATTAAAGTTGATCGGAAATTGTTCAAAGTTGTCTTTATGCAATAGAAAGTCATCTACGTCATCGAGACGTTTCATACGCAAGAAATGTTGACGTTTACGCAATTTATGACACGAATGCGATGTCCCCGTGAGAGTTGACAACCGATGCTCGAGTGAAATTCATTACAGATAACGTTACCATTGATGATAAAAGTCATTTTGAAATTATCTGATGAGCCTCTGATGGTCGAGATACTCAACGATCGGTAATAACGGTTCTAGCTTTACCTCGAGATCCATTAATAGTCATATCATGGAGTTTCATCCGACGCTTCAATGACACTCCGACAGAGGGCGTGCACGTCATCCACGCCAGTTTGTTCTCTCTTTTCGTCCTTCCAACGTTACTCCGCTTCTTCACAAGTGTTCATAAGCGTATTTATCCCGGCACAGGTCGCACAGGTGTAAGCCGCGTAGCGCAACGACCGCTGTAACAACAGAAATAATTTTATAAATAATATCACACGAGATAATAGAGTTTGCAAGGCTCTCGAGTACAAGATAACCTCGAGAGAGCGTTCAGTTGTGGTTTAGCGTCGTGAAAATAATAGATATTTGTCACACAAATTTTGTTCGGAACTGCCCGATACCTCTCCTACGCGTGAAACACTTGGACGAACGCGTTTGTACGCTCTGCTGAAAAATGAAATCGCAAAGCGATCGCATCGTCGGAGGATCGTTCGCGCGTTGATGGTCGCATTGGTGACAGGTCGCCCGATCGAACGACGCCAAAACATGTCCAACACGATAAGCGGCAGGAACTTGCTACGGCCGACCGGCCTGCAGTGCAAGAACCTGCACGAGTATCTGAAGTCTCGCACCCCCGACACCCTGAACAAGCTGTATCACAAGCCGCCTATATGTCTGGCCGTGTTCCGCGAGCTACCTGTTATCGCCAAGCACTACGTCATGAGGCTGCTGTTCGTCGAGCAGCCGGTGCCGCAGGCGGTTATTGCGTCCTGGTGCTCCAAACTGTATTTCGAGGAGCATCAGAAGGTGGTGCAGATCCTGAACGAGTTGTACGTGTGGAAGGAGGCGTCCATACCCGGCGGGCTGCCGGGTTGGATCTTGAACAACACCTTCAAGAAGAACCTGAAGATCGTGCTGCTGGGGGGCGGCAAGCCCTGGACCATGTCCAATCAGCTGGAGACCGACAGTAAGCCGCGAGACGTGGCCTTTCTGGATTCTTACGCCTTGGAAAGGTGGGAGTGCGTCTTGCACTACATGGTCGGTTCCCAGCAGCAGGAGGGTAAGAGCTCTTGAGACTTGTTGAAAATGTAACTACATGTTGTGTAAAGGACGCAAAATTTCTATGCTTTCCTGCGTTGGAAAATGTTTTACTTGAAATAAACTATATTGTCTTTAGATCTGTACCTTAGAAGTGAAGAATCATATCTCTAGTTTTTAAGTCAGGTACAGCGTTATTGACAGTTGTATTATTAAATATATCGGTTAAACTTACTTTATTAAAAACTTAATCAAATTGCTACTTTCATTTTATATCTAAATACACCATTTCTCTATTAAAAAACTTAAACCTTGTTTTCGCTACATTTATAATAATGGAAATATGATTCTTTACCTCTAAGGTATAGAGATATGTATATGATTTTTTGCAAAGAGAAAGTCTCAATCCTTGACAAGGAATTTTTTGAAATATATAAATTTATGACCGTATTTCATCGACAATTTTGAAATTTTGTGCCAACATTCTACGTATATAAAGTAAAAAATACATGCAATTGCGCTTAAATATTTTTTATTCAACCACAACTGATTTCTGAGACATATTTTCGTTCCAAAATATCTAGTGATTTAATCATACTTTGTATAAAAACTTTTCAAATTTAAGACGTCTAACATAAAATGTTGCAATAGGTATATCTGCCGATGCTGTAAGGATTCTTCTACATGCCGGTTTAATGAAGAGAGATGAAGCTGATGGAAGCCCAATTATAACACAAGCTGGTTTTCAGTTTTTGCTCTTGGACACAGCTTCACAGGTAATTATCAATTCTCTGAGATATTTTCTTTATCACTCTAGATATGTATTTTCGTATTTAGAATGGGATGTCTTTTCATACTTAATTGTTATATACTCATACAATAATATTGGACAATCTCTTTTTTGTATTGCACAAGTTACTTTGTACATCATAAATATTTTCTTTACATATAGGTGTGGTATTTTATTCTACAATATCTCGACACAATTGAGGCACGTGGTCTTGATTTAGTAGAGTGCCTGACTTTCCTGTTTCAATTAAATTTTTCCACCCTCGGTAAAGATTATAGTACGGAAGGCATGTCCGAAGGACTCTTGACATTTTTACAACATTTAAGAGAATTTGGACTTGTATATCAACGAAAACGTAAAGCAGGAAGGTAAATAGATAAAACATAATGTGTGTTATTTGTCAGATAATCATGAATTGCTGATATCTCTGTCAATTTGTGTTGCAAGGTTTTATCCAACTCGATTAGCGTTAAATATTGCTACTGGTGAGACTAAACCTTTAACCAGAGATACAGACAAGGAAGGGTATATAGTTGTAGAAACAAATTATCGAGTATATGCTTATACAAACTCGAACTTGCAAGTTGCATTACTTGGACTTTTCTGTGAAATGTTGTATAGGTAATTACAACACATACAAGATATGTACAAAATATACTAAAAAATTTTAACAATTATATTATTCTATGTCTAGGTTTCCAAATTTAGTTGTATCGATATTGACCAGAGATTCCGTAAGACAAGCATTAAAGAGTGGAATAACTGCTTCTCAAATAGTAGGGTACGTATGACGCTAATGTCTTAAATAGCCAAGTAAAAAAATGTTTGTGTATTACATATTTTTTTATATCAACAGCTATTTACAACAACATGCACATAGTAAAATGATAGAAGCGGGACCACCTATATTGCCACCTACTATCACAGATCAAATTAAGCTTTGGGAAAATGAGAGAAATAGATTTTCATTCAGCGAAGGAGTTCTATACAGTCAATTTCTTTCGCAAACTGACTTCGAGGTTCTTAGGGATCACGCGGTCTCAACCGGAGTATTAATTTGGGAAAGTGAAAGGTAATTTGTGTTATTTTAAAATATAAATAGTTTATAAAATGTTAAATATATAATATTAATAGCGTTTTCCTTAATTTGATTACATTAAATATATATATATTGCGTTATCGAAAAATTTGTCGTGACTGCTGCAATTAATAACAAAATATATATTTTTTATCTTGTAGGAAGAGAACCATGGTGGTTACCAAAGCCGGCCATGATGATGTGAAAAAATTCTGGAAACGATACTCAAAAGGCTCAAGTTAATATTCGATTTACAAGGTTTAGTTGTAAGCATTCTATTGTTATGTTTCCTATATATTAACTACAAAAAAATATTGTTTCAAGAAAGTGCCTAGAAAAACTGGAGAAGCATTCTTGACATAGACTGAAGAAATAATGTTTTCTTTTTAATCGATGCCAAAGCTCTCTCAAGTCGGACTAGGTTTTGATAACGAGTGTGATATTGAATTAATCAAATAAGTTTTTAGATATTTAATGTTGTCTATTTTATTCCTACTCTAATTATAAAATTTATATATAATGATGAAATAATTATTCGGAATTCATCAATTTAGTTAGCGTCCTAAAATCTATTGCAATTTCTCACGTCACAATAAAGTTTACATTGGAATACAACCGTACTAATATCTTTTGAATACCACATTTCTAAAATAAACTTAATATTCGAAGCTCGATATAGCGTATTCTGGAGTAACACTTTGGTCCAAATACAAAAATAGTAAATACAACAATACGTAACTATTTTCTTGACATAGATAGAATTATAACTTTTTTGTTAACATGTGGAAAAAAGACTTGGGGCAGAGAGTCATACAGTTAAAAGCAATGCTATCGGTTGAATTAATCTTCGATTAACTTAATCGAAATTTAATCGAAAAGTAAATTCGCGGATGAAAAGGCTTCTTTTTCGATGAGTTTAAAATAATCGATATCGACAGTTGCTAATTTGATCGTTGCTAATATTTCATCGTTTTATTGACTGTTTATACTGGACTATTAAGGCCGTGGCACATAGAAAAACGTAGGCAGTAAAACTTAAGCAGTAAGGAAATCAACGGTATGGATTCGCCACCACTTAGGGCCGTGCCTTAAGTTCTTGACTGTGATTGGCTGATTTGGTTACTGCTTAAGTTTTTCTATGTGCCACAGCCTTTAGAAGTTATAAATAATATTTGAAAATCGGGACAGTCGGATATTTGATGAAATATACATATACGTATGATTCTATATAAAAAAAAAAAAAATGTTACAATATTTTATTTTATATTATTTTTCAATCATTAAATGCCTGTTTTCTCGGTCATCCGAAACAAAAATGATATTAATTTCAAAAATTGACCCTTCACGTAGCAATAAATTGAAGTATAGGATCTTGGCGTTACATCACGTAAGTACATTTATAAAAAAAAATATCTTATTTGCAAATTATATCTTATAATAAGCGTGCTTCTTTCTCACTGCCGATTCTTCGCTACATCACATACCTATTTTCACATCTTTTTTTCGGAAAGCAGGCATCGAAATTGTTTTCTTTTTCAGTGAAATTGTTTATCTCGTTTTTATCCTGATTTACCTTTAATGAGACTCAATCTATCATTCAGCTTCTTACAGATTGATGAGTGCCGGTATGATCCATATTATTACTATACTAATAGCTCGCGGCAGACGCGGAGATTGAACGAACGTTCGGGATAAAACATTCGAAAATTAAAAATAAATTATTTACCGGACAGATTTTTACGACGGCACTCGTACTTTTGTATGACTTCACCTGGCGTTACGCGAACTTTCGTAGAGACTGTAATTTCTTTGGATATAAGTATCGCGCGATTTTTCATATCGCTCGACTTTCCCTCGCTACGCTTATCTTGTACTTACCGTGTAACATTACTCGCATAAAAAAATCATACGTTATAAAAAAAAAAAGAAGAAAATAATATTCTTGATGCGACGCGACGCGAGTACCGCGTTGGAGACACGCGTGGACGAGTATCGCGTGTGTCACCGCGGCGATTGCGATTCCGCGAACTATAATTTCTGCGCGACATCTTTTTCTTCGATTCAATAATGACGAGTAGGAAATAAAGGAGCGCGGGATATTGTCTCCCGACAACCCATGATTATCACAGACAACGTTACTATGTAATGTCGTGACACGTTATTAGTATCTGGATATGGGGGATCGCCCGGAAAAAGTTAGGTGGACCTTGAGGGAGAATCGACATCCACACAAAACCGAGTCGGGGAGATGCAATCAGCTGTGAAACATTACTACAATGTTAACAAGATCCTCATGTCAAAACTCGGCACTTGGCCGGCGCAAAGTATATTCGCGAAGATAGTGTTGCCGACCATAGCAACGGCTTTTATATTCAGCTTCGGTTTTCTCGAGGTAAATTCCCACCGCTTTTTACGTAGTGTGTGGTAGCGAGTGAAAACCCACGTTGCGCTAATAAAATTTGTGAGGGAAAAAGAAAGATACTCTCGTGTGATTGACATACGTGCGAGTTTTACTTTATATGTCGAGCATGAATTCCACGAAGTCGCTTTCTGAAATTTTTTGACATGCCGATAGACATGCCGAAGATACGTCAAATATTCATATTCTAAAGAAAAATTTAAATATATACCTGCATTACTCCCATCTCGATTAAAGAGGTATTCTGGTTTGAAAGATCGTAACTTCTTTAAGTTATAAATAATTTATTTGAAAAAATATCTCAAAAATAACTTTCTGGCAATTTTTTTAAACTTTCCACATATCCAAGACCATGTATTTGTATATTTGTAAATCTTCACGACCCTACTGTGTCGAGTAAATAGTTAATTAATCCCATATGTAATGATATTATACAGAGTGTTTAATTAAAGTTTGATTTTCAGAGAGTCTAACCGTTTATAACTCAAAATCTATTTGCAATATTTTTTTTTTAAGAAAAAAGATTCGAAATATATATAAAGTTCGGTTGAAAAAAACAGCCTGATATGTATATTTTATGTTTAAGAAAGTTATAAAAAATGGTAGATTATTTTATCGCGTCTAAAATTATTCCAAGCTGGCAATTCACACACACACACACACACACACATCAGCTTTTTTACATTGCTTTTAATGCAGGTAGGTAAAACGTTAGAGGTGCACAAAGGTGATCGCAGTTATTATCGCCGATTTTCAGTTTGTAAGATTATCCGAGATATGGAAGAAACTGACCGAAGACTGCGAGTCCTGCATCATGGCGGTGCTTACCGTCCTCTGTTATATTAAACTGTTCGTCCTAGTTCTCAAGAACAAAAACGTAAGATTTCACAAGCCGCGACCTTTCGCTTTGGCCCTTTAAGAAAAATCCAATACGCGGATTGTATCCCATTCGTTTTATTCCATGTTCCTCATAGATAGAACGACTGCTGTCGCTCATCGACTATCACTGGCGCGTTTTCACGCATTCTCTGGAGGTACAAATTATGCACGAGTACGCTGTCATAGCAAGGAAGATGACGATAAGTTATGCCGGTAATAATGAGATAAATCATTCGCCTATCGCTTGGCTTTTAACGCCTGCTCCATCACGTTTTTAACACATCGCACTTACACGTTACACGTGTAATCATGAATTGCACAATCCGATCTAAATAAATGCGACTTGATCGTTTATACTCGTCGATGCGTGTTTTTTTTTTACATTGTAATAATAATAATGCGAGTTGCAGTGATGATTTATTCGTTGATGAGCCTTTACATGCTGATCCCAGTGACGCCGCAGTTATTGAATCTCCTCATGCCTCTCAATCAATCGCGCCCACGTAAATACCTATACGATATCGACTTCAGCTTCGACAGAGAAGAATATTACTTCTCTGTATTACTTTACTCGTACTTGTTGACCGTGGTGAATATGACTGTTTTCGTAGTAACCGATACGAGCTACCTGATTCTTGCGCATCACGTGTGTGGTCTGTTCGCCGCTATCGGGTATTGTATCCGTACTACAAATTTTTAATTTAATGTAAAAGAACTTTTTTTGTCTTAAATCTTCGCCGTACCGTGGATAAACTTTTGTTTCAAAGGTACCGACTAGAAAGTCTATCCTCGACGATAAGTTTAAATCATCACGTTCAAGATGCAAAGGTAGCTTGCAATAAGTACGAGTCGACAAATTACGATGGCGAGATCTATCGCGAACTGATCCTTCTCCTACGGAAACATCAGCTGAGTCTTGAGTGAGTTTCGTATTGTACTGCACATACTGTAGGATATGTTTCGTATTCAATGATATTTTGTTCGTATACCTTTCAGATATGTCGATTTGTTGGAGTCCTTGTTCCAACTGTATTCGTTTTCGATGATCTTTATTCATTTCATCATTATGAGTCTCCTCGGAATGCAAGTGAGCGCGCGATGAAATTAAGACACGTTGCCGATCGGAAATCGTCTCATAACTTCCTTCAATCAACCTGGAATTTAACCGTCTTGCAGATAGTTGCCTTAATGGATCGCAAAGGGGAGATGCTCAGATACGTGTCGATGGTAATAGGTGGTTTCGTGCATCTTCTCGTTTTGAATTATCCCGGCCAAGAAATAATGGATCATAGCGCAGCTATATTCCATAAAGCGTAAATATGTACCAAAGTTTTTCGCGCGATGTAACAAAACATGGTAGTAGAAAAAAACCTGGATTTTCTTTTTTTAGAAAAGGGATTTAAAATTTCTTCCTTTCTGATAATAGGATGCTAAAGAGACTATAAATTTGTTCTGTTCATTTCTCAATTAACCTTTCGTTTTCTTGACCCTAGGTTACTATAACCATCGGATCTGGAAGACCCGAGCAGAAACTTTTAAAGTTCGGCTATATGTATAAAAATTGTTCTTTGTGTGTTTTAAGTTCCTGAAAATTTGTTTCACATATTTATGTTTTTATATAAAACATTTTTTAACGGGCCTTTATAATTTCTTTCCTACTTATGGTTCTAAAATAAAGCTTACATGGTTCGTTTAAGCAGGCGTTGACGTTTAAAAAAAGACAAAAAATATTATTTACCTGAGATCTGAACAGATAAAGGTACTCTGGATTTCGCAGACTTATGGTAGTAACTATAGTAACGTAGACGAATAATTTGCAACCTAGAGTTAAGTATCTTAGAAAGTATTTTATTTTCTACAATTTTTATCATTTTTGTTCTTTTCAAATTTTAAATATTCTAATAGGTATTCGAAAGTAATTGATTGATCGTTTGTAGAGAGAAAGAATTTATATATTGAGTTATTATTTGTAGATACAACATACTGTGGTACAGAATGCCGCGAAGAACGACACAGCTATTGAGCATATTACTTTATAGAAGTCTTGTGCCTTGTAAATTAACAGCCGGCAAACTATACGTGCTGTCGTTTCAGAATTATGCTTCGGTAAGATTGGCTCTTTTCGACAGCACCTACATGTACTGCAGTACCTGCGGAAGTATGATTTGCTATTTTTAATTTTAAGGTGCTGCAGGGAACTCTATCTTATTTCACCGCCCTTTTGTCGTTACGGTAATTTGCAGTTAAAAAGAAAGGAGAATGATTACGTTGGTTTGTCGAACGATAAAATTAGCAATTTGAGTGATTTTTCTCTGCTAAACGTCTGAAAGTAATTCTATTGCGTATAGCAGTAACAAATAAAATTCAGCAAAAGTTGACAAGTTGCATATGAAAGCGAAGACGTGTGTTTCAAAACGTGTTGTATCGATTTATCTTTCTGTTTTAATAGCAATTCAAATATATAGTTGATACCGTTATAACATCATAATCGTTATCATTTTTTTCACAAAAGTTCGACCTGTTAAACCGAAACAAAGTTCATCGTTAAAAGATTGTTTGTATGGATGTAATTGTTGTATGAATTAATGTATCCCCTCACAGTTTTCCCATTCCAACGAGTAGTGAGTATAATGCTTATTTATAATAGTATCATTATTATTACATTAATTACCTATTTAATTATATGTGTGCTATTTCAGCTTCAGCTTGAGACTGCGTTTCAAGTTTCAAGACATTACTCAGCGCACAATTTGCTGAGCTGAAAAATCTATACGCAAAAATATTATTAAGATCCAGCTATATAAAGCACATTTTTATTTTTTGTGTTTATCACATAGCGGTCAAGTTCATTTATTATAAGTAAAAATGAAAAAAATTGATTTTTCTTCAGCGATGGAGTTTTATATTTCTTTCACAAAAGAGCTTCAAAATTCTTAGGAATTACACTCTCAACAGGAGTAATTAATTTGGCAAAAAGTTATTATTTTAAATTTTAAAACATAGATTATAAAATATTTATTAAATATATGTAAAATTTATACGTTGTCGAAAAATTTCGTGATAAGTGCTGCAATTAATAACAAAATATGTTTATCTTGTAAGAAGAGAATCAGGGGGGATTATTAAAGCATTCTTGACATAGACTGAAGAAATAATGTTTTCTTTTTAATCAATCCCAAAGCTCTCTCAAGTCGGACTAGGTTTTGATAACGAGTGTGATATTGAATTAATCAAATAAGTTTTTAGATATTTAATGTTGTCTATTTTATTCCTACTCCAATTATAAAATTTATATATAATGACGAAATAATTATTCGGAATTCATCAATTTGGTTTACCGTCCTAAAATCTATTGCAACTTCTCACGTCACAATAAAGTTACATCGGAATACAACCATACTAATATCTTTTGAATACCGCATTTCTAAAATAAACTTAATATTCGAATCTCGATATATAGCGTGTTCTGGAGTAACACTGGTGCAAATACAAAAATAGTAAATAAAACAGCTTATTGCTTAAGTGAAATATATATGATTCTATGTGAAAAAAAATGTTACAATATTTTATTTTATATTATTTTTCAATAATTAAGTGTCTGTTTTCTCAGTCATCCGAAACAAAGATGATATTAATTTCAAAAATTGACCCTTCACGTAGCAATAAATTGAAGTATAGGATCTTGGCGTTACATCACGTAAGTACATTTATAAAAAAAATATCTTATTTGCAAATTTCATCTTATAATAAGCGCGCTTCTTTCTTATTGCCGATTCTTCGCTACATCACATACCTATTTTCACATCTTTTTTTCGGAAAGCGGGCATCGGAATTGCTTTTTTTTCAGTGAAATTGTTTACCTTGTTTTTATCCTGATTTACCTTAAATGAGACTCAATCTATCATTCAGCTTCTTACAGATTGATGAATGCCGGTGTGATTCATTATTACTATACTAATAGCTCGCGGCAGACGCGGAGATTGAACAAACACGTTCGGGATAAAACATTCAAAATTAAAAATAAATTATTTACCGGACAGATTTTTACGACGGCACTCCTACTTTCGTATGGCTTCACCTGGCGTTACGCGAACTGTCTTTCGTATGACTTCACCTGGCGTTACGCGAACTTTCGTAGACACTGTAATATCTTTGGCTTATATCGCGCGATTTTTCATGTCGCTCGGCTTTCCCTCGCTACGCTTATCTTGTACTTACCGGCGTGACATCACTCGCATAAAAAAAAATCATACGTTATCAAAAAAGAAAAGAAGAAAATAATACTCTTGATGCGACGCGACGCGAGTCCCGCGTGGGAGACACGTAGACGAGTATCGCGTGTGTCACCGCGGCGATTGCGGTTCCGCGAACTACAATTTCTGCGCGGCATCTTCTTTTTCTTCGATCCAATAATGACGAGTAGGAAATAGAGGAACGCGGGATGGTCACCCGACAATCCATGATTATCACAGACAACGTTCCTATGTAATGTCGTGACACGTTATTAGTATCGGGATATAGGGGATCGTCCGGAAAATGTCAGGTGGATCTTGAGGGAGAATCGACATCTACACAAAACCGAGTCGGGGAGATGCAGTCAGGTGTGAAACATTACTACAATGTTAACAAGATCCTCATGTCGAAACTCGGTATTTGGCCGGCGCAAAGTACATTCGCGAAGATAGTGTTGCCGACCATAACAACGGCTTTTTTATTCAGCATCGGTTTTCTCGAGGTAAATTTACGCCGCTTTTTACGTAGTGTGTGTGATAGCGAGTGAAAATCCACGTTGCGCGCTAATGAAATTTGCGAGAGAAAAAGAAAGATACGCTCGTGTGATTGGCATACGTGCGAGTTACTAATTTATATGTCGAGCATGAGTTCCACGAAGTCGCCTTCTAAAATTCTTTGACATACCGAAGATACGTCAGATGTTCATATTCTAAAGAAAAATTTAAATGTATACTTGCGTTACTCCCGGTTTGAAAGATCGTAACTTCTTTAAGTTATAAATAACTTTGAAAAAATATCTAAAAAATAACTTTCTGGTAATTTTTTTAAACTTTCCACATATCCATTGCAAGACCATGTATTTGTATATTTGTAAATCTTCACGACCCTATTGTGTCGAGTAAATAGTTAATTAATCCCATATGTAACGATATTACACAAAGTGTTTAATTAAAGCTTAATTTTCAGAGAGTCTAACCGTTAATTATAACTCAAAATCTATTTATGATATATATTTTTTTAAGGAAAAAGAAATTCGAAATATAAATAAAGTGCGGTTGAAAAAAAACAGCCTTATATATATTTTATATTTAAGAAAAGTATAAAAAATAGATTATTTTATCGCGTCTAAAATTATTCCAAGTCGGCAATTCATACACACACATCAGCTATTTTACATTGCTCTTAATGCAGGTAGGTAGGTAAAACGTTAGAGGTGCACAGAGGTGTTCGTAATTATTATCGCCGAATTTCAGTTTGTAAGATTATCCGAGATATGGGAGAAGCTGACCGAAGACTGCGAGTCCTGCATCATGGCGCTGCTTTCCGTCGGCGGTTATATTAAACTGTTCCTCCTAGTCCTCAAGAACAAAAACGTAAGATTTCGCAACCCGCGACCTTTCGTTTTGGCCCTTTAAGAAAAATTCAATACGCGGATTGTATCCCGTTCGTTTTATTCGATGTTCCTCATAGATAGAACGACTGCTGTCGCTCATCGACTATCACTGGCGCGTTTTCACGCATTCTCTGGAGGTACAAATTATGCACGAGTACGCTGTCTTAACAAGGAAGATGACGATAAGTTACGCCGGTAATAATGAGATAAATCACTCGCGTATCGTTTGGCTTTTAACAAAAAGAAAATGCAAAAGTTATTTTTCTAATTATTTTCCAATCCTATTCTTTTTATTATTTTTCTTATATATGCAGGCAGAGATTATATAAGAGAAAGAAAGCGTATATGGACGTATATGGACATATTTTGTATATATAATTATATATATGTATTTATATATCATTTTATATGAAAAATTTTTTCAGGAGCTTAAAACAAAGAAAAATTTTTTACGCGCGCGTCATTGTGAATTGCACAATATAATGCGGCCTGATTGTTTATTCGTTGATGCGTGTTTTTTTTTACATTGTAATAATAATAATGCGAGTTGCAGTGATGATTTATTCGTTGATGAGCCTTTACATGCTGATCCCAGTGACGCCGCAAATATTGGATCTCCTCATGCCTCTCAATCAATCGCGCCCTTATAAATATCTATTCGATGTCGACTTCAGCTTCGACAGAGAAGAATATTACTTCTCTGTATTACTCTACTCGTACTTGACGACCGTGGTGGCTATGACTGTTATGGTAGTAACCGATACAAGCTACCTGATGCTCGCGCATCACGTGTGTGGTCTGTTCGCCGCTATCGGGTATTGTATCCGTACTACTCATTTTCCGAGAAATTTTTATAATTTAATGTAAAACAACTTTTTTGTCTTAAATCTTCGCCGTACCGTGGATAAACTTTTGTTTCAAAGGTACCGACTAGAAAATCTGACCTCGACGATAAGTTTAAATCATCACGTTAAAGATGCAGAGGTAGCTTGCAATAAGTACAACTCGACAAATTACGATGGCGAGATCTATCGCGAACTGATCCTTCTCCTACGGAAACATCAGCTGAGCCTTGAGTGAGTTTTCGTATTGTACTGCACATACTGTAGGATATGTTTCGTATTCAATGTATTTTGTTCGTATACCTTTCAGATATGTCGATTTGTTGGAGTCCTTGTTCCAACTGTATTCGTTTTCGATGATCTTTCTTCATTTCATCATTATGAGTCTCCTCGGAATGCAAGTGAGCGCGCGCGATGATATTAAGACACGTTGCCGATCGGAAAATCGTCTCGTAACTTCCTTCAATCAATCTGGAATTTAACCGTCTTGCAGATAATTGCCTTAATGGATCGCAAAGGGGAGATGCTCAGATACGTGTCGATGGTAATAGGTGGTTTCGTGCATCTTCTCGTTTTGAGTTATCCCGGCCAAGAAATAATGGATCATAGCGCAGATATATTCCATAAAGCGTAAATATGTGCCCAAGTTTTTCGCGCGATGTAACAAAACGGTAGAAAAAAACCTGGATTTTCTTTTTTCACAAAAGAGATTTAAAATTTCTTCCTTTCTGATAATACAATGCTAAAGAGACTAAATTTGTTCTGTTTATTTCTCAATTAACCTTTCGTTTTCTTGACCCTAGGTTACTATAACCATCGGATCTGGAAGACCCGAGTAGAAACTTTTAGAGTTCGGTTATATGTATAAAAATTGTTCTTTGTGTGTTTTAAGCTCCTGAAAAAATTTTTCATATATTTATATGTTTTTATATAAAACATTTTTTACCGGGCCTTTATAATTATTTTCCTATTTATGGTTCTAAGATAAAGCTTATATAGTTCGTTTAAGCAGGCTTTGACGTTTAAAAAAAGCTAAAAAATATTATTTACCTGAGATCTGAACAGATAAAGAAAACTCTGGGTTTCGCAGACCTATGGTAGTAACGTAGACGAATAATTTGCAACCTAGAGTTAAGTATTTTAGAAAGTATTTTATTTTCTACAATTTTTATCATTTTTGTTCTTTTCAAATTTTTAATATTCCAATAGGTATTCGAAAGTAATTGACTGATCGTTTGTAGAGAAAAAAAAGTTACATTTTGAGTTATTATTTGTAGATACAACATACTGTGGTACAGAATGCCGCGAAGAACGACACAGCTATTGAGCATATTACTTCATAGAAGTCTTGTGCCTTGTACATTAACAGCCGGCAAACTGTACGTGCTGTCGTTTCAGAATTATGCTTCGGTAAGATTGGCTCTTTTCGACAGCACCTACAGTACCTGCGGAAGTATATTTTGTTATTTTGAATTTTAAGGTGATGCAGGGAACTCTATCTTATTTCACCGCCCTTTCGTCGTTCCGGTAATTTGCAGTTAAAGAAAAAGGAGAACAATTACCTACGTTGGATTGTCGAACGATAAAATTAGCGATTTGAGTGATTTTTCTCTGGTAAACGTCTGAAAGTAATTCTAGTGCGTAGCAGTGACAAATAAAATTCAGCAAAAGTTGCATTATGAAAGCGAAGACGCGTTTCGAAACGTGTTGTATAGATTTATCTTTCTGTTTTAATAAGAATTCAAATATATAGTTGTCACCGTTATAACATCATAATCGTTATCATTTTGTTCACATAAGTTCGACCTGTTAAACCGAAACAAAGTTCATCGTTAAAATATTGTTTTTATGGATGTAATTGTTGTATGAATGTTGCGTATATTCCCTGACAGTTTTCCCATTCCAACAAGCAGTGAGTATAATGCTTATTTACAATAGTATCATTATTATTAAATTAATTATCAATATTATATATGTGTGCTATTTCAGCTTCAGCTTGAGACTGCGTTTCAAGACCGACATTACTCGGCGCGCAGTTTGCTGAGCTGAAAAATCTATACGCAAAAATATTATTAAGCACAAAGATCCAGCTATATAAAGCATATTTTTATTTTTTGTGTTTATTACATAGCGGTCAAGTTCATTTATTATAAGTAAAAATTAGAAAATTGATTTTTCTTCAGCGATGGAGTTTTATATTTCTTTCATAAAAGAGTTACACTCTCAACAAAAGTAATTAATTTGGCAAAAAGTAATTATTTTAAATTTTAAAACATCGATTATAAAATATTTATTAAATATATAATTTACGTTGTCGAAAAATTTCGTGCGAAGTGCTGCAATTAATGACAAAATATGTTTATCTTGTAACAAGTGAATCAGGGGGGATTATCATAGCTGGCCGATGACGTAAAAAAGTTTTGGAAATGATGTTCAAAATGCTCGAGTTTTAATGTTCGATTTAACAAAGTTTAGTTAATTCTATAGGTATGTATGTTCTGTTATGTTTCCTAACTACAAAAAAATATTGTTCCAGAAAAAGTGAAGAAGCGTTCTTGATATAAACTGAAGGAATAATGGAAAAAAAAACTGGAGATATTTTTTGATCAATGCCAAAACTCAGATCGGACTAGGTCTTACAACGTGGTGTGATACTGAATTACTGTAGTAAGTTTCTAGATATTTAAGTTGTCTGTTTTATTCTTACTCCAATTATAAAATTCATACAATCAGGAAGTAATTATTCAATTGGGTTTATCAAACTAAAATCTGTTGCAATTTTTTATGTCGTTAATAAATAATTTTCCCATCGGAATACAGCCGTCAATCCAATATCATTTTACCACTACATTTCTAAAGTAAATTTAATACACGAATCTCGATATAGCGTGTTCCGAATTAACATTTTCGAATTAATTGTTCTGG